CAGGTTAAAGGTTGTTAAAAAGATCATAAGTCAAAAAGCACAAGCAATAGTCATTCTTATATTTTCCACTATTTTTTATTCTTTAAGATTCCCAGCATCAAGAAACGTTATCCCTTTGAGAAATAAGGCACAACTTGACCACAGAGTAACAATTTATGTTGGGAAATGACATGCCTTTTTTCTACTTTCTTGGGCTCTTCAAGGATACTGTTAACTCAGCTTACCACAGACCTTGACTGACTTTCAGGAATAAGTGCTAAACAGTTAAGAACACAGTAGGATGCTCTTTAAAATACAGTTATTGCTGGCATTCTGAGCTTTCTTGCAAGGTCATGTTTAAAAACCTTCTGCTTCCTTTAAGACCTCTGTAAAAGCAGGGTGTTATTGCTGTTTAGGGGAGTTCTCTAGCAAACACTGAACAAACAAGAAACTTACCAACTATTTAAAGTTTCAACTGAGACATTAAAGAGTAAGCTAAGGTTTTACACTAGAGTATAACACAATAACATCTTGATTAACATTGGCCTATGAACTGTTTGGGTAGCTTATATATGAACTGTTTAGGCAGCTTATATTCTCTACTATTCAGGCCTGCTACCTTCGGATGAGCTCAGCTTTAATCTTGTTCTAACCTTGATCCTATAACTCCAAAAGCTATTTGTATTCCCTATGTGATACCATCAGCTGTCCCAGATTCCATGCCATGTCAGCAAAATTAACACGAAGTTTTCAGTTCTGTACAGCTCTGGCATACTCTGTCTCCTGCCACCTTCCAGATATGCCATTGGCTATCACAGTGATGACTCTCAACAGTTGCATGCATTTCTGAACTGTTTAATTTAGACAGATTTTAGTTAACTCCATCAAGTACTTTGCTCCATGGGTGTTAAAGTTTCTTGTCATAAATCTTTTCAACCATCTCATTTAGTGATTGTATACCCTTGGCAGAAGAATCACTGGGTCCTTCTAACTCTCCTCGTTCCACATTTTATGGAGAAACAATAACTTGTTTGATATGTGAGATTTTCAACTTCTGGTTAAGTTTAGAAAATTGTGATGTAACCGAATGCCTCTGCATTCTAATGCCTCAGTCTTCACTGATACTAACCAATGCTGCTACTAAAATGGAAATGCTGCTACTTCAGTGGAAACCCAGGAAGAATACTTGACAGACTTTGATGATCTCTAGAGGTTTTTTTTTAACTTTAGACTGTTCACTGGATGTGCATTTTGCTTTGTTTTATTAAAAAAAAAACCAAAAAAGCCTCCTTAAGAATTGCATGGAATGTGGTTTGCAAACCTAATGGTATTATTAAAGTGACAGCAAAATTAAACTGTTCACTAAGAGGCTGTAATTAAGGAGTAGGCAGAGTCCATCTGCCTCCCCACACCAAATCAAATCTTGTTCAGTAGCACAGTATGCCATCAGAGCCATAGAATTATGGAATGTTTGAGGTTGGAAAGGATCTCTGAAGATGGTCTAGTCCACCCTGCCTACTAAGAGTAGGATTGCCTAGAGCATGTTGCCCAGAACCCTGTCCAGATGGCTTTTGAATATCTTCAAGGGTGAAGATTACACAACATTGCTAGGGATACTGTTCCAGTTTTAGACCTCTCTTACAGTAAAAAAGCTTTTTCTTAGGTTTATTTTCCTTATGTTTTAATATTATTCTTATTTGCTTTACTAAAAAAAAACAATTATGGCAAAGTTAAAGTTAAGATATTGTTTGCCTTTAAAAAAATATCACTGCCTATGAATTACCTAATCTACCCCTGGGCTTGGTTTTTGCACAATTCAGAAGACTATGAAATCACAAAAATAACCTTCACCAATTTGGATAGGAAATTATACTACTTTTTCCTCTGCTGGTAAATAAAATTGCAGGGAGAGGCTTATCCCAATCGCTGGCCATACCAAATCCTGCAAACTTGTAAAAAGAGCACTAATAGGGATACACTTAAACTGAAGTTCAAGTGTAGGCATGTTTAACAGCACTTATTTTCTTGATTCCAATCTTTATTTGAATACATTTGCATCTGACAAGTATTATTTAAACCTATTGACTACTTTTCAAAAGGTTGTTTAGTATTAGCAGTACGTTCCAGCTCCTCCTCCTCCTCAGCAATGTGTTCCCTATGTGACTTTCTCTTTTCTGCCTTTACTCTGCAGGTAGCAATATTCCCACTCATAAAGTGTACGTCTACCAAGCACCTACAGGTCTGGACCCTTAGTCTGAAATTCCAGTACACAGGAAAAGTTGCATTTTAAGCATGCTCTGCTTCATGTGTGTATATGTTATCCAGTAGAGAACAAAGTTCCTTAAGATTATGTACAGGAGTGGCTGAAAGGAAGTGAGAAGTCCTCAAGACAGCATATCAGGTTCTCATCTAGAAAGACTGAGTCCTTTTAAATGGAATTTACAGTCTGTTTGCAAGCCTCTTAGCTCCTGAATATCCTGAATACATATACATCATATATATAATTATAAATACACATATATATGCATGCGTGCCTACAAACATTCTAGGCTTAAATGATTAAATAATAAATCTGAACAAAGGTTAAAATCCATTAAGAGAGCACTGAGATATTGTATTAGAGACACATACACATGAAAGCAATTATTAAATTTAAACTCTGGGTACACATTTCAAATACTGTACCCTTGGACTGGTGTAAGTACACCTTCTCCAAATTCAAAAGGTCCACAGCCAAAAGGTGTATATTGTTTCAAATTCTGACAGATGTAAATAAATAAAAAATAAGCTGCGATTAGGTCAACATATCATGATGAATGTCTTCTCCTCATAGATTTGAAGGCATAGTTTGCAGGCTGCCTGAAGGTCTTGTGAATACCTCTCAGCACAGTCTGCTCAGGGAAAAAGGAGGAAGATGAACAGATGGCAACATTTAAGTTTGTGGATTAAAGATAAATTTAGTGCCAAAAGAGAATTGCTATTGTTTAAAATGCAAACCTTTCTATTTATTCTTCTTTAACTTGAGACTTCAGGCAATACAATTTCTGACAATCACATTGTTCTTAAAAGTGCTCCCTTTGTAATGTCTCTTTTTATATATATTTACTGTAGCATTATAAATAAGTTCAAAAAACTATCACACAGACAGAACACGTAGTGCTGCATTAAGCATGGACTTCAAAGACTGTCAAAAATAAAGGCTTGCTAATATTATTTACCTTTTCACTAGATCCATCAAAGTAAGTCAAATGCATGGGGTTAGCACAACTGTAAACATTTACAAGACTGAAGCCAACAAATTACTCGTAACACAGGATTTTTACCATCTGCATTGCTTGAGAAAATTCTGTAACATGTTTGTGATATGAAATATACTATAAAGGGCATCAAAACTGGTAAAAACTTATATATAGTACGCAGCTGCTGTATATGGGACTTTCAAATATTTTTGACATCCTAATTCTACTTGCTCATATTTTAGGGCAAAATTATATGTCATATAGAGGGTTGTACACTAGACAGCGAAGTTTTGCACTTCAGAACTTCGAGATAACCTAATAAAATACAAGAGCCTTGTGTCCACTGGAATAATGTTTGAGTTTAACCTGAATATATTCAGGAAATAAGAATGTATATTTACAAATATGCTAGAACAGATTTTGTTGAGTCTCTTTTGAGTTTTGATGAAAGTTTTTATTTCAACAGAATGGGTACTTTACTGAAAACTGGATTTTACAGGCCCCAAACTGGACTTTAAGGATTCTTTCAGCATCTATAAGACCAACAGAGCAAAGCCAAATGCTTGATGCAATTTTTTTGCAGGACACCATTAGCAGAACTAGTTATGTGAGCAGAAATGCTGAGAATTGTACCCTTGATTTCACTATGTAAACTGTAAGACACGTACTTACACTTTTAGGAAAGACAGCCTATAAGTCAAAGAATTTTAACAAAATATTAATTTTTTTTAAAAAAACATTATAATCTGTGTTATACCAGATATTTAATATGAAACTAAACCAAGAGTTGTCCATTTTGAGAAAGCTACTGAGAGCTTTTATGTCCAATATAGGCTTCAGAACCAGTGAAAGTTTCTTCTGCCAGCTGCCTGCTTTAAAAATCTGTATGTGTATTGGTAGAGTAGGAAACCCCTAACATACTATCTTTTGTGGTCAAAGTGTGTTTCTTTAAGAGCTTTCCATCTCAGGGAGGTATATGGCAATCAGCAATTTCTCAGGACAACCAGAGGGATCAAGAAGTGTTGGATAAAGAAATGAACATGGCGAAATTTGATTCATTTAGAGAGACTATCCCTCAGCTTAGTTTTAAAGCACTTCCGAAATCTCCCACTGCTGTGATGAAGTATTGGACTGTGTGTTTTAACAAGGCATTAGGAAATGGCTAGCTAATAGTATTTTTAATGTGCAGTCACTCAGGCTGGTGTAGGTTGGCAACCTGCAGTGTCGTACAGTGCAATGACGTGAGCAGGTGACCTCAGGGGAACGAGAGAAGGGAGGGACCTGGGGAGGCAGGCGGCAGGGACGTGCTCCAGCGGCCAGCTGGGGAGTGCTGATCCTGTCTCTTCGGCGGTGCAAGTTTCACCCACCACGTTACACAGATTATCCCAAGCAGCCAGGCATCAAAGGACAGGGGAATACACATACCTCAAATATTTACGGTGCCTGCACTTTCAGAATGAGACAGTTCGTTCACATCTGTGAACGGGCCATTTTTAAAACATCAAAATAAACCATCTGGCTGCGCAACTGTTTCTAATTACTTCCCTGCCTAGACTGTAAACTTCGGGGTTTGGCACCGGCCTCCTTCCCAGAGTGCTGCCCAAATCCCACTCCCAGGCAGCTAATCAGAGCTACTGCAGCACGGGGGGAGCAGCGCTGGAGCCGGCCTTGTCCAGCTCGCAGCTCTCCGCATGCCTGGCGGGTCTGTCCGGCTGTCTGTCGGCCCGTCTGCAGGAGTACTCCAGGTGCGGCATAGCACAGCCTGCACCATGTACGCACAGGGGCTGCTGGGGCTGGCGCTGCTGCTGGTCACCTCGGTGCCGGCCGGTCACCTCTCGCCGCCGGCTGGCCCCCTGGCCCTGCGGTAAGTGTGGCTTTGAAGCCTCACGGGGGGTTGCGACCGATTTTGAGATGTCAGGAGCGTGGAAGCTGGGGTTGCAGAGGGAACAGTGGAGAAGTTTGTTAGCTCTTCCTCTGCCTGCTTAAAAGTAACACTGAGGGAAGCACTCTGGGTCCCTGGGAATCTCAACAGGTAGGTGCCTGTGAAAACTGCGGGAGTTATTTGCAATGATGTATTTGATGCCGAAGATGCAGGCTTTGAAAGCAGCAAAGGGGGAAGAGCTGGATAGTGATGACTTTACGCCCAACCTCTAAATTCTGCTGCCTGAGTGGAGCAGGCATCTAACCATAGAACCCTGCTTGTTCCTGCACTTTGGTGCAGTAGCACAGTGAGGCACACTGCCCTTCACTCTTCCCCTCCACCACAACCAGCACACCCTGACTCCTAGAGCCAGCAGTTCCTTTGCTCTAGAGCCTTGCAAAATCTACTATCTGAGAAGGGCAGGTACTACTCACTTTAATCCCCAGTATTCCCTAGCACTGTAAAGATCTATTTGTCTTGCGCAGTCCTTTGTTCTGTTTTCTTACAATGCAGCTCCCGATAAGGCAAAGTGTGATTTTCCCTGTGTATGTTCTGAAAGTCCTGATGTCTCTGTGCTCCAGTGCATGGTACAATTGCATGGCAGAACTGTAAATCTACTGATCTGGCGTCTGGATTCTGCTGGATTTACTAAAACCACAGCCACAAACTACACTATTGCATGGGAAGTGGTGATTAATTCGGTTTCCTTTTCCTTTGAAAGCATGGATCGTATATGTCTGACAACCAAAAGGATTACTTTGTGAAACATATTTTATTGGAATCAACCATAGGTTTACTTTTTGATATCATATATTCCTGTTATGCTACCTAGATGTTTGCATGTATATGTCATCTCTAAACTTTTTGGAATAAAAGATCAAAATGTTTCACGATAGATAGTCAAACTACACATGCCTATGCATATATACCAGATATGCATGATGAGGAAGTAGATGAGCCTAACACAGTTAATAAGGTAAGTAAAATCAAATAGAAACATTCCTGCAGGTATCAGTGAGATTGCTGATGAAGAAAATTGGGGGTATATGAGGCAAATAATATTTTGCAACCATAACTAAATGGTGGCATTAAGAACAGTGTTCTGGATATGGGCTGAAACCAAGGAGGGTGGTTTCCTATGAGCCAAGCTCTCATCATCTCTGAACTGCAGCCCCTGTCTTTGACTCCAACTTATTCTGTTTGCTGTTCCCCACAGGAGCAGTTTGGGTGGTCCTACTTTGTGCCAGCTGTCCCGGACTGAGTCGGAGCTCAGGTGCCGTGTCCCAGGAGGGAAGTTGTGCAATGACAGAGGCACATGTGAGTGTGGAGTCTGCATCTGCCAAGTGACTGAGTCTGGCAAATACTACGGTCCACTCTGTGAGTGCCATGACTGGGTGTGCGAGACCTATGATGGGAAGATCTGTGCTGGTAAGGAAGCCACTATGATGACAGAAGCTTAGAAAATTAGGAATATATATTAAAACTAGAAATATGTTAGGAACACAACACACTGATAGAGACATGGTTATGTATGGGTCCCTGACCCGTGTTTCTAAATGTAATTGTGGGCACATCCAAGGATTTTGCCAGATTAAAGGATACAAGTCAAAGGCACTGTCTCTGCCATAAAATGGGACTTTGCCCAGGGCAAGTTTCATCTGCAGCAGGGGTAAAAGCAGGAGCTGCTTTGGATTGGAGGCTCTGCAAGCTGTGTTTTAAGTCTAATATAGGAAGCAATATTGCTCATATGATATTACTTCATTTGAACCGCTTGCCTAATGGTGGCATATAGTATCTATCCAGGCTTTAAACTATCTCCAAATAATCAATTTTATCCTGTGATTATTGTTTTTTATTTCTTTGCTGAAAGAGGTACCACACTGAAGGCATATAAATATGAAAATTCTGTTTTTCTCTAAGTAATGATAAAGCTTTCCAAATAGAGACTTAAAACAACGTAATTGTATTGTGATTTCAGAGATTTCCCCACTGACACTGTATTCCTTGATAACATACATTTCTGGGACAGAATTTAGACCCTGCCAGTTGTTGGAACATGTCGCTTGGTTTGCGTCTAAACATTATCACTCTTTCATCTTTCCAGCTGTCTTTACTTTAGTTTCTGGGTTATTCCAGTCAGATTTTTTTTTTTTTAAGCAGCTTAGAACAGATTTTAGAAAAAAACAAGGAGAAGAGATGCCATCACATTCCTAAGGGGATTCAGCCTAGAGCTTGATGAAAGGGGCCAGAAGGGTACTTCATTTCTAGTATCCCTGCTTCAACAGCTTTACCAGATTCACACAAACGTGTCATCTTTTCAGGCCAAAACCTGCAATTAGGTCAATGGGAATGTTACAGGAATTCTTCTAGTAAAAGGACAATACAAATGAATTCCAGCAGTTTGGCAAATTTTGTAGGAAAAAAAAGCAACTTATTTTAGCAATAATTTAGCCAGGAAGTTCAATAACAACATGAAAAGGATAGGATTATGAGAAAAGGATTTATATTTGTCACGTATGACTTTAGAGTCCTGTGGAGAAAATGATTTATAGGCTCTGCAGTTACCAGTATTAAGTCCAGCTACATAAGAAATATAGCATTTCATTTCTTTGCTGTCCCAAATGTGAATTTTCTGATTGGTGGTGTGATTTCAATGTGCTTGCTGTTGTTGCTGAGTTAATTGCACAAAATGAAACCAAAAGCTCCTTCAATTTTAATATTCTACCATAAATTCCACTATCACGTTCTTGTTATTGTTATGAGCAGTGGCTTCAAGTTTTGTCAGTGCTTTGGTGGTAAGGGTGCTGACAGCATAAACAGAGCCAAGAAATCTCTAGCAATATTTAACTTCTGGGTAACACTTCATGTAGCAATGTGATTGTTAAGTGAATGAACGTTTTTTAGAAACCAGTTTTCTGTAGCTGTCACCTTTTGCACCTGGATTATTGAAGCCACGTTACCACTGAGATGTCAAACACTTTAAATTCTCCCTTCTGGGAAAAAAAATAGTAAAAAATTCAGTAAAAAGTCCTGGGCAGAGAAACAACTGTGTAGGGTGCAGGGGTTTTGCTTGCTTGGTTTGTTTTTTTTTGACAATGGTGCTGAACATCCAGCTGACTTTGTTCCAGTCCAGGGCTACCCAGCACTAGAGGAGAGTGGCTGGGATACAGGATCTGGATCCACGTGGTAAAATATTTCCTTTCAGGCTGTGCTTGTTTCCCTCTTCATTTTTCACCCAGGTTTTTAGTCACTGAAGTTATGTGTATATGGGAGGAGGGGACCATAGAAAAGATGGTCAGATCTAGTATAAGTGGCAGGCGACTGGACCTTATGTTGTATGAATAACATTTTCCCCTAACCAACTATTCAGTGAACCGCATCTTCTGATATTTCTTGACATTACGTCACCACCCTGATTTCCTGTGTAAACAATTTCCTTTCTTTGTATTTCTGAGCACATTTTTTGACTCGATGAAATTGTGTTTCCTCTAAGTGAATAGCCAAAATGTCTTACTGCAGTTGTATTCCTGTTTCCTGCTGTTCTTTTCATATTTTTATTTTGATGTTTGATGTCCTGTTTCGTTATGGATCTCTTCTGATAAATACAACAGCAGTACCCAGTGACTGGTACCACACAGAGAACTTCAAGACAGTCTTTCAGTACTCCTCCAGAGAGCCATGGTTAATGCTGTTTCAAACAGGCTACTTTTCAAGTTGCCAGTGATGCCTTTTTCAAACAACTGATGTCTAAGCACTGATGATGCTCATGTTCAGAGGTAGACAGGCAGATTTTTTTGAGTCATGAACATCAAAAATAGCTGTTTCCCTGCCAGTCAGTTCAGACCCACTTGCCTATACCAAGCTAAACAAAATCCTTATTTGCTCAATATGCAGCTCATTATCTTAAAGGCACTTTCTGTGTCAGATCCATTTTCTGGACCATTTTCTGAACAACCATATTCTGAAGAGGGAAGGCCTGAAGATAAATAAGATGTCCATCTGATTGACTTGCTTTTTCTAATAACCTTGTTTAAGAAAATGGCAAGAGATTATGCCATGAGTAATGAAGAAGAGCAGGTGTAAATGTCTCTGTCCTTTTACTCTACCTTGAGACTTCTTTGCTGTATTTATCTTCCATTGTGTGTCCAGGTGCTTTAGAGGGAATTTCAATTGGTTTTTTTTTCCTTTTAGCCCACTGAGATTGATAAAGCAACAGGTGATCTCTCACAAAGTCAGAGATGTAGAAGAGAGAAACGAAGTACTGTGGTCTGAGTCACTGAGTCCCCTGTTCTCCTCAGTGGCCTTTTTATCTGCCTGATGTATCTTGGGGTGTAGAGGAGAGTGAGTAGCTACTGTCATTCTCTTTGCAATGTTGGTGACATCTTTATTTATCGTTTGTTGCTGATCTTCAAGGAGATGAGCTAAGAGGAGGAAGACTGAATCAAACACTGAATCAAACCCCCAAAGGATTTATGCTCCCTTCAGTGCAGACAATATATTTGTTGCTGTTTATTTGCAGATAGTAGTTCTGACTTCAGTTGCATATTGCCTCAGGCTTGCTTAGCATAAGTGGAGCCTGTGTTGTGTGCAAGGGAAAGTGGATTACAGGACTAATTCCTATCACATTACTGCTTGACACCTATTTCTCTGTAGTTTTGCAGCATAGAGGAAAATGAATTTTAGTGAATTTTTTTTTTTTGTTAATCTTTTTTACTGTGTCTGTGGTTAATGAACATAGAAAAACTAAAGTAAGCATAGAATTCCTTGGCCAACTGAAGTGGGATCACTCTAGATGTTCTTAGAGAATGGACCACAGGAACTGCCAGCTGGAAAGTAACAGTATGACTGCACTGTTTATAGTTGGTAAGATAAGGGACAGATACAATTTTGTGACAACATAGGCAGCAACATATGAAGAAGGCTCCTATTTGCTCAGAACTATATTCATTGTCTTTGTTTTCTTCATAGTTACTATGATTTTATAAACCATTTTTCTTCCAAAATGAAATATATTTTATAACTACTGACTAATAGTGGCACAGCGTGATTTGTCATTGCCATAAGCAGTTGCTGGGGAACCTTCACTGCTGCTGTTCAGGCCAGTGAAAGATTTTTCTTTTTCTGTCTCCAAAGCTGTAGTCGCTGTGAGTGCTGTACCTATTTTGAGACTAGTTCAGCAATGTAATGGCAGCGTTACTTGTACGTTTTCACAACCAGAAGTGTTATCATACATAATGTGAACAAAAGTAAGATATCAGTGCCATTATTTTCTACTCTTTAAGGTTTTAAACTATGCAAAGAACACAAATGAAAAATTAAATTGACAAGGAGTAGATGTAGAAATACAAGATAAATCCAAATTAAAGTATTAATACGTAGCTATGTATCCATGTGAGTTTATTGGTCCTATGTATAAGTTGGAGAGAGTTAGGAATTTGAGAATGGAACTTGGAGAACGTTTTGAGCTGAAGGCTGTTCTTTGCACAAAAGCTGAATAGTGTCTTTAGGCAGAGTTATTGCAGTTGAGTTGGAAAGGTTCTAACAACTGTGCTTTTGTATTCATATTGAAGGGAGGTCTGACACACTGATTTTTCTTTCAGCAGAATTTCTTGCTAAAAGTGTCAAGAAAAGCTAGTCTGTGACCTGCATTGATTGCCATTTGATCCAAAGTGAAATTCAAAGCCCTGGATTTTGAGAACAAGTGTAAGCCACTTCTCTGTTAGAGGCCATGTTTGCAAAGACTCAGCTGTGGCACATGTGATCATTGGAGACAGAGCCTCCTAAAAAGACCAAGTTAAAAATAGGGCAGGAGGCTACTGATGAAAATAGAGTTTGCAGTTCTGCTCTGACCTAGTTTGTGTTAGTCCAGATTTCAGAACTTTGCTTTTTGTGACATTTCTTCCTGGAGCAGGGGTGTGTAGGTGTGATAATACCATCCATATTCATCTCAAAACAGGTCACTCAGGTTCTAGTAAAAGTGAAATCATGATAGCATAGACCTCATTGCAGGTTCTCTGCCTTGCTAAGTGCACGAGGTTCCAGCAGACATAAAAAGCTAAAACCCGTATTAATCTCAACTTTATGCTCTTGGTATCTCGTCTAGGTAAAATCAAGCAGCCTTTGATATATCAGCAATTACTGTAGTTCCAAATGTAGCATGTATGTTCATAGCTACGGTGAGGGAGGCAGAAGGAAACTCAGACAGAAACACTGCAAGGGAAGGGAAGCATTTTAAGAGTAACATTAAATGATCCGTAGCTAACTGTATTCCTTTATCTGTAGATACTACTAATGGAAAATAGGTGCTAGTTTAAAAAGTAAAAAGGAATAAGCTGGGTGTGTGGAAGGGAAAGGCTTTTGCAGCACCTAGCAGAGCAATGAATGTAGCCGCTCAGGCTATCACCAAAAACAAACAAGGGAGGAGAGCA